GAGGCAACAGAGGCTCAAGTGCTCACTTGAGCAGCACATACACTGAAATTGGAATGACACCGGGATTAGCAGGGCCCCTGCGCAAGGATAACATGCAAATTCATAAAGTGTTCCATATTTTTTAAAAAACCCAGGAAGACGAAAGAGTAAAAAACAACTCAAAAAACCAGAGGCTCAAGTGCAGGTGGAGTATGTGAGTGAGGTGAGCAGAGAAAAGTGGAAACTCTTGTTGGCCAGGCTGGAGTGAAGTGGCGCAATCTTGGCTCACTGCAACCTCCGCCTCCCAGGTTCAAGCGATTCTCCTGTCTCAGTCTCCCGAGTAGTTGGGACTACAGGCACACGTCACCATACCCGGCTAATTTTTCTATTTTTAGTAGAGACGGGGTTTCGCTATGTTGGCCAGGCTGGTCTTAAACTCCTGGCCTCAGTTGATCCACCCACCTCAGTCTCCCAAAGAGCTTGGATTACAGGCATGAGCCACTGTGCCTGGCCAAAAAGTGGAAACTTTAAACACGTTTGCTCCAAATATCCCCCCTCACGATATGCAATAAACGCAACTAAAGAGCTTGAGTTACTTTGAGATATTCAGAAATGCAATCCCTGCAGTGTGGGATAGAGGAACAGATGAAGAAAGCCCTTTGGATGCACCACAGTCTCCAGGGAGCAGCAGGCAGTGGCTGTCAGTGGCTGTTTTCTGGGCCCTCTGGTGTCTCCCAATGAGCTGGCCTCACTCCAGATTTGAGGAAGAGGTTCCTATGCATGGTGTCCCCATGCTAGATTGGCCTGGGAGGTCCAGGGGTCCTAACGGGCTGTCATGACCAGAAGCAGTGTGCAAGGCGCTCTGTGCTCAACTCACTGGAGCTTGGCAAAAGGGTTCTTTACACCATTTTTAAACCAGATACCTTGCCTCCAATAGTAGATTTAATCATCCAATGATCCCTACAGCTACAATGCTTTCCTAGAAGGAACAGGGAAGGGATTACTCACATGGCGAGTAATGATTCGGTTCAGAAATGATGTTCCTCTGGTTCTGCAGAAGGTTTGGGATATATTTCCATTTTCCTAAGCCAGTTGCCTGCTTCCTCACACCCACTTGTGACCAGTGACACTTGTGTGAAGATAGTGAAGCTAAGGTGAGGGCTACAGCTCTGGGGTCTGTATACAGGTGGAGCCGCTGTCCTAGCCTCTTTGACCCTGTGTTTCTCAATAAAACTGGCCTTGCTGAGGTGATCTGCCAGTGGTGTGTAATCCTGACCCATTCCTTCAGCCCCACAGAGAGAGAGGGGAAGGGGGTGCTCTTCCATGGAGGGTCTGGGCTTCAGATCAACCCGCCCCATTTCTGGAAAGAGCAGCTGGCACGACTGTCATGCAACACAGTCTCTGGGTTGGAAAGCAGGCCAGGGACCCTACAGAAGGGGTCTCCACCCCACAGTTCCAAGAGGGATCAGATAGGGGTAAACATGGCACCACTCTGAAGTTCCCAGGCACCTGGTTCACTCGGTTATCAAATGCAGCAGTGACAGAAAGTGCGAGAGAGCCAACGCTTCATACAGGTACTTTTCTTGATACTGTGGTAAAGTTCTGTATTTATATTACCTTCTGTGGTAGGCAGCATAATCGATCCACCCCTCACAGAAGTCTACATTCTACTCTCTTGAACCTGTGACTATGTCACCTTACATAACAAAAGGGACTATGCGGATGTGATTAAGAAGCGTGAGATGGGGAGACTATCCTGGATTATCCAGGCAGACCCAATGCAATCCTAAGGGTCCTTGTAAGTGAAAGAGGGTGTCGGGGAGTCAGAGAAGATGTGACAATGGAAACAGCACCAGAGTAATGCAGCCTGAGAAAGATGCGACTGGCCATTGCTGGCTCTGAAGATGGGAGGAGACCATAAGCCCAGGAACACTGAAGCCTCCAGAAGCTGGAAAAAGCAAGAAAACGAATCTTCTCCAGAACCTCCAGAACGAAGGCAGCCCTGCTGCCATCTTCATTTTGACCCAATGTGACCTACTTCTGATGAGTGACTGCCAAAACTGTAAGACAGTGTAAGATAGTAAATGTTAAACCACTCAATGTGTGACAGTTTGTTTCAGCAGCAGTAGGAAATTAACATCCTTTCCTTGGGAAATTCCAGGTTTCCCACCGACAGGCAAGGCATGAGATCTTCCTCCTCTCTTTGTGACCCAATGGCAATGCTTGGTATTTGTGAAATGGATCTACTTGACCGTGCTCCATGAAAGATCTTGTCCAAGATCTTGTCCTCTGGATACATATTCAGTCCAGACTTAAACTGATGTTTTTAAAACTAGTTTTTTTTTTTTTTTTTGAGATGGAGTCTGGCTCTGTTGCCCAGGCTGGAGTGCAGTGGCCGGATCTCAGCTCACTGCAAGCTCCGCCTCCCGGGTTCACGCCATTCTCCTGCCTCAGCCTCCCGAGTAGCTGGGAGTACAGGCGCCCGCCACCTCGCCTGGCTAATTTTTTTTTTTTTTGTATTTTAGTAGAGACGGGGTTTCACCGTGTTAGCCAGGATGGTCTCGATCTCCTGACCTCGTGATCCGCCCGTCTCGGCCTCCCAAAGTGCTGGGATTACAGGCTTGAGCCACCGCGCCCGGCCTAAAACTAGTTTTTAAAAATATTAATGCACCTGGCTGGGACTAGGAGCTTCTTCAGGAGTAACGCCTTGGCCATCCAGCAGCACATGTGGTCTGAATACAGGGCCATGCACTAACTGGGAGCCACAGGTCCCCTCTGGGGGCTATTTTGGTAACATGATGCTAGAATCACAATTGCTTCAGGAGCAAGGGGGAAGAAAGAAAGGAGGCAAAGGGCATTACCATTCTTCTGTGGAAATTCTTCAGGATGAAGGCTGGGAGGGACCTTCCGTGACACTAGTCTAGAGATCCTAGCCTCCTTCGAGGGCCCAGCCTTCTTACTTCAGGAAAGAATCTGACATTTATGATTCATGCCACACTGTGAATTTATATCGGAAGGTCACCTCTCTGTGGAGTATGTGCATTCTAAATTTGTTCTTTGTTCATTGTTAGAGTTTTAAGATTGCCCTTTTCCTCTCCTCTCCCCAACACACCTCAGAGTCTCCATGTTGCCAGTGCCCCAGAATGGCCTTGCTGAGACAAGCATGGCAGGAGACCTAGCACAATGCCTCATGCCTGTAATTCCAACACTTTGGGAGGGCAAGGCAGGTGGATCACTTGAGTCCAGGAGTCTGAAACTACCCTGAGCAACATGGCAAAACCCCATCTCCACAAAACTACAAAAATGGCCGGGCGCGGTGGCTCATGCCTGTAATTCCAGCACTTGGGAGGCCGAGGCGGGCGAATTATGAGGTCAGGAGTACGAGACCAGCCTGGCCAACATGGTGAAACCCCGTCTCTACTAAAAATACAAAAAATTAGCTGGGCGTAGTGGCGGGCACCTGTGGTCCCAGCTATTCGGGAGGCTGAGGCAGGAGAATCTCTAGAACCCAGGAGGCAGAGGTTGCAGTGAGCCGAGATTGTGCCACTGCACTCCAGCCTGGGCAACAGAGTGAGACTCTGTCTCAAAACAAACAAAACAAAAGACAAAATTAAGGGCAGAGGTGGGAAGATTGCTTGAGCCTGGGAGGTGGAGGCTGCAGCAAGCCATGATCATGCCATCACACTCCAGCCTGGGCAACAGAGCAAGATCCTGTCTCAAAAAAATAAGAAAGTATGGCAGGAAAGAGCTAAACTAAAATCTTTAATTATGCACACCAACCCCGACAAAGACAAGAACATGGAACGGTGGCCCATTCCAATCAAAAAGATCCTCGGATGCTTTTGAGGCCAGTTCCTGGTATGGCGCAGCCCCAGGTCCCAACTGCAGGATTACGCAGGTGTACGCATGAGGGTGGAGGGAAAAGGAATGGCTTAGGATAAATCCTAGGCTTCTGATTTGAGTGATGAGAAAGATGGTTCGCTCCATTAACTACAGTTTGAAGACAATGAGAAGAGAAAGTCTCCGGGTAAATGGATAATAACACTCTTTTATGGATGTGGTACATCACAGCAGCCTGCAGTGGACCCATGGGGAAACAGCTCAGCAGACGCTGAAGTTATGGGGTCTAGGATCCAGGACAGAGGGCCTGCCTGGAGTAATCAATGTTGGGAGCTGATGCTGGGAGAGCAGATTAATAGATTAAGTCTCCTAGGGTGAGAAAAAAAAAAGGGCAGAGTTTGAAACACTCATCACCACCAACATTTAAGGAAATAGAGGGTAGAAGGCTAACAAAGAAATGGAGAAAAGAAAATTGGTGAAGAAGATCAGGAAAACTAGGAAATGTGGTCTTTTAGAAGCAAAAGAGGGGAAAGCTTTAAGAAGAGATGAGTCCAAAGTGTCAAATGTTCTAACAAGGTAAAGGATGATGAGACCAGAAAGAGGGTCCTGGATAGGGCAGTGCCAGGGCACAGGTGGCTGCAGTGGGAGCAGCTTCTGTAGGGGGTGTGTGTGTGTACATATGCACGTTGGGTACATGTGTGGATGTATGTGTCTTTGTGCGCATATATGTATGTCAGGTGGAGAGGAGGTAGCAGAAATTAAATCACAGAGGATTGGGGAATAACCAGGAACCGGGGACACAGAGACAACAGGTGTAACTACTCTTTTTTAAGAAGCAAGGAAGTTAAAGGATTACTTTGGAGGAAAAAAAAAAAAAAGCAAAACAAGAAGCAAGGATGTAAGGGAAGGAAAGAAATGGAGCAAGAACTTGAAAGTGAATCAGGGTCCAGAAGAGGCTTTGTTTTGTTTTATAATGAAAGAAACTTGAGCATGAGAAGCACCTGGTAGATGAGGGAGGAACGAACATGTGTGTGAGCAAACAGTGAGAACACCCTGGCAGAAATTAGATATAAGTGTTGCTGAAATCGTGATAAAGAGAACAGTGATGTCATCACCCCCACTCCCATGCAAGGGCAGAGGTGGTGTGGCTCTCAGGTGGCTTGTCCATACCACGGTCTCACCTCATGGAGCTTGTCAGCCTTCTGGGTCTGCTTCTTCCGACTTCTCTGAGCAGCAACTCGGTTTTTTTCTCTCCTTCGGACCTTCCTGTCATCATCCTCAGGGCTCTGGGGAAAAACATTGGGTGGGCGTGATGTCGTGGCCCCTCGCCTTACCCTTCTCTGCCCTGTCTCGTCACTCAGCATTGTTCACAGAGCTTTACCATTTGCTTTGCAGTAGACAGCAGCACTAGTTGCTACACCAATGGGCTCACAACAGCCCCTTGCCCAGGAGCACTCACCATGTGAGTGTGTGAAGTGTGTGGTGTGACTGCTGTTTAAAAGATGAGGAATAAGAAACTCAGAGGGGTTAAGGACCTTGCTCCAGGTATTACAGCCACCAAGTGGGTGAGTGGGAAGTGGAACTCAGGTCTGTTGGTCTCCAAACCAACGTTCATAAACCTCTAGCCCACAGGGCGTGTGCCTGGAAGAGCTGTGGTGTCAATGTTGTCCATCTGAGACTGGAAAGCTGGGCGGGGGCAGGGGGCGGTGGAGAGATCTGCTATCTGGAACTTGCTGTTGGGCAGTGGAGAGATCTGCTATCTGGAACTTGCTGTTTGCCAGTCCTTACACCACCACGCATGAAAGGTACTTTTGATGCTGCATGCAAATCATGATTACACTTATAACTAATTGCAACCACATAACTCTACCAACACACCAAATGATCTTAAACCCCACTGACAATGTACTCATTTGAACAATGCTTGGCTGACATTTTGTTTCAGAAGTCAGAGTGAATCAGAAAGCAAATTTTTGATGTGCCTTGAAAGCTGTTAGCTATATGTAAGATTTAACCAAATTCAGTCAAATCCCTCAAGAGTGATCATGAAACAGGCAGGCGGGAAAATGTACTGACTGTGGTAAAAACACTTCAATCAGCTATAGAAAACATGAAAAAGTAGAGCAGTATTTGCTTTCTAGAACCCCATGAGGAGACACCACCAAGCGGGAAAAATACCACACTTACAGAGTTTAAGAGCCAAGAGGAACAAATACAGGAAAACCACTCAGTTATTAATATTCATGGATGCAAATATTAATAACACAAAAATGGATATTTTCAGTTATCATTTGATCTTGTCCTGTATTCCAAATAAGACACACATCTTCCCAAGTTACTACAGGTAAGAATTTTTTATAAGGGTATAAAAAGGAGAAGAATAAATAACATACATAGCAAATAGAAGCTTAAGGGAACAGAGACAAAGTATGAAAATACAGTCTTCTAGAGAGGCAAAGAAGTCTTGATAAACAAAACCAGAACATTACAGGGGAATATGTGGTTAGAAGACAGCTCTTTAGCTTTAGAATCACACCGATCCTAGTTTTGTCTCTTAGTGTCAACATGGCCTTGTGTAAATGGTTTAAATTCTCTAAATTTTCAGTTTTCTCATTTATTGCAAACATAATTCATTCATTCTTTCAATACGTATTAACTGAGCACCCACCATGTGCCAGACACTGTCCCAGACACTGGGGATACAAGCCCTAAACAAAGGGTCAGGGAACTCTGCAGACTTAGTGCTAACAGCCTAATGCTTAGGATTGGGATACGATGAAATGAGATTTTGTCCTAAAGCTCCCAGCACACAGTATGCCCTCAAGAAGTTACCTGCCTTTGTTGAAGTTCCTACTTAAAAAAAATATGTATTCTGCATAGTGCTTTTCATGCCTCTGCTCTCCGTAATCAAAAAGTCACTAGCACAAGAAAGCAGCTTGCATACTGCCCTCGGGGAGCTGACTCTAAACTGGACTCATCACCATGATCACACCTGCCAACCCAGCAGAAACATTTAGTCAAGACAGAAAGAGGTGAACAAAAGTTAGAGATAGTATTACGTTATTAATCGTATCTGATTCAATCTCAAAGATCCTGAGAGATCGATGTTATTATATTCATTTTACAGATGGGGAAACGGAGGGTCGGAGAGGTTAAACAAATTGCTCAAGGCTGCTCAGCCTGTGTGTGGCAAAGCCGAAGCCCAAACTTAGATCTCTGAGACACTCCAGCGTCACCTGATGACATGTGCCCAGCGCTGAATTGGGAAGGTGGGGAGTAAGGATGAAAAGACCCAGTCTTCGTCGTAAGGCAGGTGGCCAAGACCCAGGCAAAGTTTCCAGATGGCCGTCCCTGTGGCCAGCCTGGTCTGTTTCCTGAGTGCTCAGCTGTAAACGTTGCTAGGGGACAGCGGACTGGGAAGGGGCAAAGGGTTTCCACCAGCTGGGGGCGGAGTCGGCCCTTTGTAGGTCCCCCCGCCCAGGCTGACCAGTCCCGCGTTCTCCATTCCCGCGGCAGCCCACCCCCGGGGAAGCCCGGAGGGGCTACAGGCACGGACGGTGGGGTGGTAGTCGCTGGCTGCGCGAGGATGGGGCGGCCCCCAGGGCAGTGCGGAGCCCACGTGCCGGGGAGCACCGGCCATGCCCGGCCCAGCCAGGCGTGGGCGCCCTCGGGCTTCTCCTCCCAGAGGGCGCAAGAGCTGGCGCAGGAGCCATTCCAGGCGCCGCGGACACTGTGCGCACGCCGGGGTCCCTGGCTCGCCCCCACGCCCCCACGCCCCCCACACCCCCACGCCCTTACCTCTGCTTGTCTCCGGCCGCACCAGCAACCTCTGCACCTCCGCAGTCACCACCACGGAACTCCGGCACCCACCTCCTCGCCCCCCGCGGCGCGCCGGTTCCCCGCACCCCACGACCCTCCCTGAGCCTCCCGCCCTCTACCTGCGGCTGCGGCTGCGGCTGGTTCCCCGGCGCCGCGACGCTCCTCTGCAGGACGCTGCCGGCGGCCGGGAGCCCTTGCGACATGCCGGGCGCTCCTCCGGCCCGGCCCGCCAGCGCGCCCTGCCCACGGGGCTGCCTACGGGCGCTGTCCCGCCGCGGGCATCCTCGTGCCGCACCCACGGCCCCGCGCCAGCCCCGCCCCCTCGGGCTTCCCGCTCTCCCAGCTCCTCCGCGCGTGGGCCGGGTGTCCCAGCGCGCCAGTCCCGGCAGCGGTCCTTCCCGTCCCACTTCTGCCCCGCCCTCCTTCTCCCACCCCCGCCTCGTTTCCTCCTCTGCCCGCCCTCTCTCCGCACCTCGGGGTCCCAAATCCACCCCTGCTGCGACTTTCCGCCGGCGCCCCGCGCTTCGTGGAAGTCACGTGGTGGCTCTGAAACCCCAGAGGGAACGCGAAGCCCACCCACGCGAAGCGACGCCCCGGTGGGTGGGGGCCAGGGGGGCGCCATGCAGCCTTTGGGGTCCTTCGGCCGCTACCGGGGAACTCAGGTTGAGAAACACAGTGGGTGTTTTGGGGTCGGTGGTTTTTTCCCGGTCCCATCGCGGCATCTTCCTGCGCCTCAGCCACGCCCTGCGCCCGCCCCCCGGCGCGGGGGTCACAGTCCCGGGGCACTTTCTCCGTGGCGATCAGTCATCTGGGTGCCACTCTGGCTCCTCCAGCGGCCCCGGAGCCGCGGCTCTGGGGCGAGGACGCCGGCTTCACCGAGTCCCACCGCGCACCCCGAGCCACGGGCGCCCCAGGGACTCTGCAGGGAGCGCCTGCCCTTCTCGTCCCCGGTCCGCCGGGCTGTGGGAGGGAGCGAGGCGGGGCGGCCCCGAGGGTGAATTCCCGGAGCGGAGGGTGGGCAGGGGGAGGGTGTCCCGGACAGAAACGGTGCCGGGCTTCCCTGAGAGCGAATCTGCCACGTGGGACGTCACTAGTGACACGTTTGGGGATTTGGACCTGCCATGCCACGGTTAAATGGCCCAGATCCTTTTTCTCTTTCAAGACTTATCCACTCCTGCCAAACTGGGGACCCGGTTGATATAGGGCAAGTCCCTGTCCACCTGCCTGCCCGTCAAAAGATGAGAAGCCAAGACAATTACACGTGGTCCTAGCAAAGGAAACACTAGCGGCCACAGGCTGTGGTCTGCATGCTGTGAGCACCGGGAAAAATAACCGCGATTCGGGATGGGCGGGTGGGAACCAGACCAGAAGGGCAGAAGTGCCTTCCAAGTGTGGTCGCTTGGGTCTTCAGGTTTGTGGCCAGCAGTGGACATTGGGGACAGGCATTTCCGATGCCTTTTTAAATCTTAAATGAGTGCACGTGCCCCCCGCCAGGATTTAAGACCCACTCTTGCAAAAGCTTTGGGAGAGCTTGAGTGAACTTGGCTTCCTGGCGGCAAGAAAGCAAACTGAGATTCTTGTCTGTGTGATCAGAAGCTTCGGCCAACTGAGAGGTAGGGAGGAAGGCAGAGGGTGGACACAGCCCTTTAGAGGTGCAGAGCCACACTCACTCCACACCAGGGTTATCTGCTCGGATTAATCTTCTCATCTCCGTTATTTCATCACTCAGCTTAACTCGTGGTTGCCCCAGGACTATTTTGCATCCCACAAGGTACCCACACAAGGTGCTTAGCATAGCACTCTACATACACTCAACGGGTGCTCAGTATATGTATTGCACTCGATCAGCTGAGAGCCCTCATTCCTGAAACACTAAAAGGACTCTACCGAGCTAGAAAAACCTCTGGGTCAAGGAGTTACCATTTTCGGAAGTGATTTCATTCTCCAGTGTTGTTTATGCACGGAAAGGGCAAGGTAGAAACACCTCGGGAACATTCCCATACACTCCCATGCTTTATTCTAGTCATACCCACTTTTCTCACTGAACATCACATTTTAAGTCCTTTGGGGCTGCTGCTTCCCTGTCTCTTCCCAGGGAACCTGGAACCATGCCCCAGCACACACGAACTCTTTATATAGGCATAGTCTACTGTCTTGTGTTTCACAAGGGTTTCTTCAAATATATTTAGTCTTGGATAACTAGTTAGCACTTAGGATAGAGATCAATGTAAAGATCATACATCAAAATGAATGGATTAAATAGCTAGATACAGAAATGAAAATCAGAAAGCTAAAGCAGAATTAAATTCTTATTTAAGTCACGGAAGCATAGGCAACATAGTGAGACCCCCATCTCTACCAAAAATTAAAAGAAATCAACTAGCGGAGTGTGGTGGTGCACACCTGTAGTTCCAGCTACTCAGGACGCTGAGGCAGGAGGATCACTTAAGCTCAGGAGTTTGAGGCTGCAATGAGCTATGATTGCACCACTGCACTCCAGCCTGGGCAACAGAGCAAGACCTTATCTCAAATAAATAAAATAAAATAAAATAAAGTTGTGGAGATAAGACAAGGAGAGGATTTTAAAAGAACACATGTAATAGGACAAATTGACTTGATAAGATCTGAACTGTATAAAAGCACTAAATTGTTTTAGATGACAGTATAACCAGAAATGTAAAACAGATTGAATAAATACAGTGCATATGAGGAAGGGTTAATATACAGCCCATGAAAAAAAATAAGAATATTAAGACAACCCGCAAAGGTAAATTGCAGAAGGGACATGAAATGGCATTTCCCAGCAGAAGAAATAATCAAGGAAAATAGATATAGGAAAATATATATTAAAATAAGAACCTTTTTTAAATTAGCAAAATAAAAAGTAGTAATATCAAATGCTGGCGAGAGTATGGTGAAATTCGTACTCACACGTTTCATTGGCTTCATTGTAAACTGGCACAAATCTGCTGGAACGCAGTTTTACTCTCACTTTCAAGAACCATAAAGGAGTCACCACTTTTGACTCAATTTTCCTACTACTAGAAAATCATCGTAGGAAGATCATTGAAAATACTAGGGAGAGAAATACTATATGCACTAGAAGTTCATAATAACATTTTAAGAGTGAAAAATGTAAGCAACATAAATGTCCAATTATAGTTGGTTGGCTAAACAAAATATGTTATTGCCACAGGACAGAATGTTATGCATCTTTAAAATTACAAGCATGCAGGCTGGATGCAGTGGCTCTGGCCTGTAGTCCCAGCTACTCCAGAAGCTGAAGTAGGAGGATCATTTGAGTCCAGGAGTTCAAGGCTGCAGTGAGCCATGATTGCACCATTGCGCTCCCGTCTGAGCAAGAGTGACACCCTGTCTCTTAAAAAAAAAATTACAAACATGCAGACAAATTTGCCACATGGAATGTTTATTTGATTTGAAGTAAGAAAAAAATCAGGATACAAAAAGTACATATATGACAGGAACAGTATGTACGAATGTATGCATATGAGAAAAGATTGGAAGAAAACGTACCCTGATGGTAGCCTTTCTCGCATAATGTTCACATTATAATTTCTTTTACCTGTACTTGTTGAAAAATTGTTTTTATTTTGTTAGCATCTTAAAACATTTCATATGTGTAAGTGATATAAATATATTTATATGGCACTAAGCTCACTGACCACACCAGAATGCCAGCACTTCTCTGATCGTTTGCTCTAATAACAGACTTTTCCTTGCTTTTCTGTAATATTTTCTGGTTTGTTTTATTCTCTTTAGTCAGAAGGAGAAAAAAATGAAGAAAAGATAAAGAATAAGCATTTCAAATGTCTCCTTTTCTTCTACTTTTTATTTTCTTTTCATTTGTATTATTTTCCTTGAACCAGGAAGAGAAATTATATGATTTGGCAATTTCTGATTAATACCACAATTACCCTGGATTACATCTTTGGGAAGGCGGGGAGGAGGTGCCAGAGGTTTATAGCTCAGTGACCAAACCCTCTGGTGATTCACTTCACAAAAGACAGCTCTTTATAAAAATGCATCACTCCAGTGCTAGCAAACACTGTCACTAGTTCACCTTTGCTCTTCTCTTTTAGGAAAATTGGCCTTTCAGTCATTGTACTCTCATTGCCCTTCCTTAGAAGGTGGTCCTGTGGGCTGCTGGTGGGGATGGAGAATAGAACGCTGAAGGCAGAATCCACTGTGTTTGCCAGAAGTCAGCCACTGCGTGCCAGGCCCTGTTCTAGGCACTGTGATACAGCAGTGGACAAAAAACCATCCACACCTCCCGGAGCTCTCGTTTCAGCGGAGGAAGGCAGACAATAAACAGAATTTAGTAGTGTGTCAGAGGGTGGTACATTTTATGGCAGAATACAAAGCAGGGAATAGGGACCAGGTGTGGGGAGAGATGCATTTTTGAACAGGGAGGTCCAGCCAGGCTTCTGTGAAGGAGGTGAGAGAGGGAGCCCTTTGGATACCTGGAAGAAGCGGTCCAGGCTGCACCAACAGCAAATGCAAAAGCCCTGTGAAAGCCTGCCCGGCCACTCCAGAAACTGCAGGAGGCTCACGTGGCTGAAGCGGAGTGAGGAAGGGGTGGAGGCCAAGAGATGAGGTCAAAAAGGCGGTAAGAGCCAGGTCTTGCGGAGCCTCCTGGGCTACTTGCTTTTACTGGGCATGAGATGGAAAACACTGGAAGCCTTTGGGCTGAGGTATGACGTGATCTGACTCGAGTTTTTTTTTTTTTTTTTTTTTGAGGCGGAGTCTCGCTCTGTCGCCCAGGCTGGAGTGCAGTGGCGCGATCTCGGCTCACTGCAAGCTCCGCCTCCCGGGTTCCCGCCATTCTCCTGCCTCAGCCTCCCGAGTAGCTGGGACTACAGGCGCCCGCCACCTCGCCCGGCTAATTTTTTTGTATTTTTAGTAGAGATGAGGTTTCATTGTGTTAGCCAGGATGGTCTCGATCTCCTGACCTCGCGATCCGCCCGTCTCGGCCTCCCAAAGTGCTGGGATTACAGGCTTGAGCCACCGCGCCCGGCCGACTCGAGTTTTTTATGAGATTACTTTGGTCACTGTGTTAAGAACAGACTGAGAGGAGCAAGGAAGAAACAGGAAATGACAGCAATAATCCAGGATAGCTGGGATAGGGGCTTGGAAGATGTTGGGAATGCGGAGGCCGAGGCAAATTTGCCAGGAAGTTAAAGAGTTTAAGCTTCAGGGCACCTCACTTACACAGGCCCCTGTCATGACAG